CAGATTCTTTATRGTGCGATCGGGTAAACTGAGTTGGTTTCCTTACTTGGCCTTTGTGACTTACTTGACTTAAAAAAAAAAARGATACCAGACTTGACTTTTTGACGCGTGACAATTTGTTTTTATCTTATAATAGTACTAAAMGACATATAAAATAAATATGTATTTAAAAAAATATCATTGTTTTTGTTTTCTTAAAAAATATCATATAAGTGAGTTTTGATTGCTGTGACGTGATTATATAAGTTTGTAATTTATGTTATTTTTGTAAAATTTTAAACTTAATATTATATTATATGTATAAATATATATTTCTTTTGCACTATTTTTATATTACTAATATTCTCTTCTAATATATATAGCCCTCTGTCTAGTTTTTCTCATTCAATTTTTTATATTTCTCTAAAATTCATCTATAACTTAGTTTTCTCTCTCCATATTTTCATATTTTCCTTCCTCYACATATCTCTCTCTACTTTTTAAAATATAAAAATCAAGTGGTACCGTTTTTGCCAACATGAGCCTATATAACTCAATGTTAAAAGACCTATTCATAATGTTTAAATCTTCAAATTTTGGTGTACTAAAAAAAATTATTTCATTTTATACGTTTTAAAAACATAAAATAGAAGAACTAAAAAATAGAAATTATTATCAGCTTGATGCTCTAAACGACACGGATACTTTTTAAAAATGGGAAACAAAGTACACTAATCTGGTGAACATAATTTCATATCAATTAAAAGTGAAGAACATTATGGATATATTAGAATAACAACTTCGCCCATCTGATCAACAAAGCTTAATAACGATTAAAAGGGACCTACACCTCTCATTAAATATCAAAGATTCGAACTCAACGCCCCACATTTATTTATTAGTATGACTAGAGTAGAGTTTATAGGYTTTAATGTTTCGGTGAACCGAAAGTAAAATTTGCTGGCTTTAGTCTAAAATAGACAATATCACGTCATTATAAAAAGGATCGAAAACAACGATCGTGATTTTACATTATTCGATCCCCATCTCCACAGTACAGATGAGAGAGAGAGAGTCATCAAAGTTCTTCCTGTCGCACATTCGATTACCGAAGAGATATTAATAATTCATACAAACAGATAGGAATATGAAGTAACTTTGCATATGGAGAACATGTGATGTGCCCTTTCCAAATGCATCTGGAAATTCCAAACCACGCCCCAAAAAAAAAAAAAAGTTACTTTACAGAACACTCGAGAAATGATTCATTATTATTGCAAAATACTATTTTTGACTTTTGTTTTAATTATGTGTTTCTTTTTCAATAATAGATCATTAAAATAAGGTCACCCAATGACATCTAAATTATGGTATTAAATTTAAATGGACATTTCTATATGTTCAAATATTCAACATTAATATGAAAGGTGAATTGAAATTTAGTGTCGCAAATTAATTTGACAAAATATTAATAAAATATTAACAAAATAACTATCTACGAAATTGAAACATTGATACTTCTATCAACATCGTAGAATCGTCGTGCAGAACGCTTCATCTAGACTAAACTRCATAATCAAYATACTTTTCTGTTCACACTCAACCGATGGAATAAACATAATGAAAAAGTAAAGCGATCTAAAATAATAATATTTGAAGCATATATATATTAAATGGAGAGAGGATTTGATGATTTAAGAATAATTTCTCTCTTTGTAAATGTCAGTGCACAGGAGTGATCATTAAATGTAGATTAGTGCTTGTTTACATGGCATACACTAGTGCATAATGTAATGCAAAATGATACCTAAAATTAAATAAATAAAAGCTAACATTTGTTTTAGAGTGCTTTAATAACAAGTACTTTTGTATCAAAATCACTGGTCTTTTTAGTTCAACAAGACTTCACCGTTACCGTTACGTAAATAATATACTAACCAGTTGAATTATATTAAGATTTTAATAATGTCTAATGAACAAAAGTACTTTGATTATAAGCATAAAAAAATCACTTCCAACAAAGCACTTTAAAATGCTAATTTTGACTTTGTTTTCCATATGAAAGGTTAAGCATGATAGTTTGGATTTTTTGTCATGCCAAAATCGTTATCAAATATATTTTAAGGGTGTGCTTAAAATTCTTTAAATCAAACACTTTCTTTATTGAAATAATTTTGAGAAGAGGTACTTCCAAGTGAAATATTTCCATAATTGAATATTTTGTTCAATTCTACTTTTTTTCAAGTTAATGTGTCCATTTTTAATTTCTAAATTTAATGAAGTTTAATTTGCTACTCTAAATTAATTTTGATTTATGCTTTTATTTAGCCCTTTCTCTTGGGTACTTTTAATGAAAGATCGAAGTTTTATAAGATGGTTAGACATTCCAAGGTTGAAGCAAATCTTGCAACAAACCAGTTAACTGAGGGTTAAGAACTTTGTCTAACTGCTTTGAAACAATGTCCAACACATATAGTTAAATTATAAATTCTGATGAGGAAGAAATCCGAACAAGACACCCGTCGGGCATGGAAGCAACAGCGAGACGCGAGATCACAGATAGTTAGCATCATATGCTGCACACGCATATGGGTACTTCGCCACCACAGCTGTACGTGCCAAGACGTCGAGGCCTTGCAGCCTGCGACCTGGCAGTTGCAGGGAGCAAACCAACAAGCGCCATCCACTAACTGTTAGTGATGTCCGCGTCTCTCTGTCAGAGCCTCGTACACCTCGATGTGTCCCTACACCTTTAACCATCATTCTACCTGGCTGGCCCACTGCACCTACAAAAAGGGCATGACTCCATCACCACTAAGTAAATGAAAAACGTGTCACTAAACTCTTTGTGTCTAACTTCTATTTTTCATATTTTCACATTGATTACTGACTTGATCCTTGGAATGCGTTAGGCGGGACACCGCACCGACATTGAATTTTTTAGTTGCAGGTTCATTTGGTCTTTAACAAATGAACACCCCTGAGGGATACGTGAATCTCTCCAACATTTGCCTTCAACAAATTTTACCACTAAATTTTATAGTTTTTTTTATGTAGTTTTTGAACTTTACAAGATTTTAATCACGTTCTTAAAATTGTTTAAAAAAAATTAGGTTCTTAAAATTTTGATTTCATTCTCGTAACTTTATGTTTTTAACAACGTAAGAAATGGTGATGTGCCACGCTAATTGAAATGATGAGGGATGATTTGACACTATTGTTATTGGCTCATCTATCCTTTCATTAATTAATTAACTCCTTTATACCCTTAATAGTTTAATCAAGTATCGTTAAACAGCGTCAAAGATAGCATAGCTCATTGATAATTGATATATAACTCTAATCAAGAGGTTGTGATCGATCCCCCACCCCACATGTTGTATGTTAAATAGCGGATCTCGACCTAAACTTAAACGGCTTCATCTACCTCTATTAGTAGAGTTCATGACTGCAAGAGTTACATCTAATTAACATGACTTCTCACTTCTGAAATTTGATTTCTCAAATTGTTTCAAACAATTTTATGAGTTTTATTCCAACAATTTTCTGCATTAGTTTACAAAGATAAACAAGCTACATGTTTTCCATTCTTTTGTAAAATAAAATGTAACATAGTAGCATTTGAAGGTGCATATCCTGAATTAAACTAATGATCTTCCACAAAAATTTAACCAATTGTATAAATGAGTCACTTAAACAAAGTTTTAGGATTTTAATGGATTAAAGTGTTATGTTGGAGTGATTTCTCACTTACCACGTGGCAGTCTTTGATATGCTGAGAAGAAAGGTCGGTGGCAGAGATGTTGCTTAACAAGTTGAGCTGATCTGATTCCAGTTCGGTCTCTGTGCAAATTAGCCAAGCCGACCTTATCTTCCACATGTTAGCCATTCGAGCCGACGAAGGACACTTCACCAGGATTACGTTTCCGACACATTTAATAGTACGACCATCATTTATGGAACCTAAAAGAGCTGTTGGAGTTGTGTCGGAAGCTCCACCTATAAATAGAAACCTCCTACATCATTCCCAAGTATGCGAAACTATATTCTCTCTCGAATATAGTTCGGTCATTCACTGACTTAGACGTCGTAGTATCTTTTGTTTTGCAGGTTCCTAGCTCGTCACACTTCCTGTTCGTGTCATCCTTCACCCAAGCTGAGTTACACAGACTTTGGTCAAATTCTTGATCAAACATATTAGTTTAAGATTTTAATGGACTCATCTTACAAAGTTAGGAATTTATCAATGAAACTATTAGTTTAGAATTTTAATTTATTCAAATGAAGTCTAATTTTTTCCCTCAAAAGAAATAATAGAAGGAGGCCCTAGCATGTATGAGTATTTCTCCATTATCACTACACTCACAGATGATGAACAAGAGAACCAAAGGATCGAACTGATGAAAAAGGTTCTCTTTAGTATTCTGAGACATAAAGATTTGACAAAATGGCAATGTGGGCCATATTACTTTGCAGCCAAAGCTCTAGAGAACGAGAAAAAACAGATGTTGGTTCTTGTGGAACTGTTCTAAATTTAATTTATTGTCAAAAAAGTAGAACCAGAAAAAAGAAGATATTTGGAATATATGATTAGTTGTTACCTTCAGCATCAAAACTCACAACTTTTAATGCATATGATAGTTTCCCCCTTTCCATGCCTATTCACATCACAACCAGGTATTTTAATAATTGATATCGGTCGAGATCTTTCCACGAAAAATATCGTTAAAATGTTGATATCGATAAATATCTCTAGAAAATCGTTACAATTCGATAAATAAGTCTTTTAACTTTCTCAAACTTTTAATATATTGCACCAATTTTAACATGGTTGATGATCTTGTGAACATGGGAGGGACCCTATTGATGTACTGACCAAAACTTCTTCCCCAAAGCATAACTTTTTTCCCACTCTTTTTATTCCTTTATTATTCCCCCTTTTCTCATCTCAAGGGTATTTAGTAAATTATAAAACCCTCCATATCATCTGCAAACTATGCAATAATAATATATATATAAAAAGCTTTGTAAAAGAAGAACACTTGGAAGTTTTTGAATTTAATTGTTTAAAGTTATCTCTGAGCAGGGGTGGGGGCTTTGGATTAAGCATTAAGGAAAGCAATGAAGATCAAGACCAAGGGGATGCCTCTGACACAGAGGAATATCTTCAAAGGCTGGGGATTGTTTTGAGTTTTTATGCCTTTCCTTATCTCTCTCTCTCCTCTTTCCCCTCTTTCTCTCTCTCCTCTCTCTTTTTTTTCCTTATAAAACAAGTTTTCTGTGTCCTTAACCATGGCTACCGTACTCCAAACAGCTACGTTTGGTTCCGTTATTTATTCGTATTTCCTACGTTGTTTCGGAAATCCCCGTAATCATCATCATCATCATAATCATCATCCTCGTCATCACAAAAGCTTCAATCACTTCCTCTTCAACATGCCAAAGCCTAAACCTCTTTCCTTGCAGGTTAGTTTCATCAACAGAAAGATTTCATAAAAGTTTGGTTTTTTTTTTTCTTTTTCCCTTCTTTTTCTGTTGCTCTAAAAAGAAACAAAAACTAGATAAAAAGTTGTATTGTGGTATGAAGATCATCTAACTTTTTTTGACTAGTGTTCTATCTATTAAGTTAGGCTCGAATTTACTGTTGTTACTGTTTTATACATAAAGGTTTTATAGATGGGTTTTCGAGATTTTTTTTTTTAAACATATTTTGTCTTTTTGTTTCAAATTTTCATGTGGGTGTACTGTGAACTTTTGGAAAAAGCTCAACTTTAAAGCCAAAAATCAGCCAGGGTTAGTAGGGTGTGGAGCCAGAAATTTCTTTTTCTAAACCTTTTAAGAGATCAAATTAAACAAAAACTGTAAAATTTTAATTATTTTCTTCCTTTTGGGCTTGCTATGATTATATTCTTAAAAGCCATGATYACAAACTTGTGTACTTTTTCTCCTAAAAATAAGAACAAAAGGGTTTTGGGTTGAAGGCCTTAGTGGATGTGGGAATCTTCTAGATGTGAAAAAGAAACTACAATTTGCTATAACGTGACTTTTTCTTAATTCCCTTGGTTTCTTCATTAACCCCTTATGAAAGGCATTTTTTTTCAGATCAGCAAAAGGAACAAAGGTATAATAATAATAATATCATGAGAGAATCTAATCTATTAATTTGAGGATCTGATATTTTTGCCCTTTTTCAGACTGTTGAACTAAAAGTCAGGATGTGCTGCAGCGGTTGTGAACGGGTTGTTAAAGATGCCATCTACAAACTTAGAGGTACAAAAACAAAGGCTCTCTTTTTTTAGGGTTTTAACAGTTTGAAAAAGAAAATCTAGATGAAGGGTTGGGCTTAGTTTTGAGAAACGTGATTAGGGTTTTGTAGAAGTTGATTCTTTAATTTTGAGTAGGAGTTGATTCTGTTGAGGTGAATTTGGAGCTGGAGAGGGTGACGGTGATCGGATATGTCGATCGGAATAAAGTATTGAAGGTGGTTCGGAGGGCCGGGAAGAGGGTGGAGTTTTGGCCATACCCAGAGCCACCATTGTACTTCACATCAGTGAACGATTACTTCAAAGACACGACCCGTGAGTTCAAGGAGAGCTACAACTATTATCGGCATGGCTACAACATCGGAGAGAAGCACGGAACGATTCCGATATCTCATCGAGGCGATGACAAAGTGAGCAACATGTTCAACGACGACAATGTGAATGCTTGTCATGTAATGTAAATATATAATTAGATATGAATGTGAGCCCTAGCTCTAGCATTCAATGGCAGCCTTGAATTAAAATGGGGCTTAAGTGAAAGTCTATATGTGGTGTGCTTTTGTATATCTTGGAATTGAAGGGTTGATGATCTTTGTTTCTAAGTCATTTGTACAGTGTGTAAAATGCAGTTTGATTTGTTCCTTTCCTTTCCCTTAATTTGTAACATGAGTTTGTGTATTATACTTAAAGCAAGTTTATATTACCAAATTTCCAAGTGTAGTTTTATGATTTTGGTTTCCTAGTTTAACTTTATTTTAATTATTTCCGTGATTCGGAGTTGAGCTAAAGGTCTTTCTTTTTTATCCAGAGACAAATCCGAGCAAAAATATAATGTCGTTGAATAAATAACATCTTATGATGAGTTCAACGGAACAAAAAGGTAAAAAGSTCGTTTAATTCTGATTTCTAAAACCACGGCAAGATATTCAAGAAAGCAGTAAAACGGATAGAATCTGTAGAAAACTTAGGCCAGTTTGTCCATTATGTGTTATATACCAAACGTACGAGGACAATTCCTGTAAATTGTGGGTAAACTCAATATTGGGCCCAACCTATTAGCAATGCAATGGGCTTTTTAGGGCCCAATTGGGGGTCCAACTCAAATGCTATTGGGCTGAACCTATAAGCAATTAAGTGGGCTTTCTAGGCCCAATGGGGTGTGTACAACTTAACTGGAGCTGGACTTGTCTTAGTGGTCTACCTGTCATAGATTTTTTGAAATTTATAATAAATTACCTTTTATTTTTTTCTTTGAACACGAAAATATATAGGTGGAGATTCAAACCTTTTTATCGAAGATAAGTGTGAGTTGTTAAGAATGAATAAATCATCACTCAACCCAAAAGCTTGCGGTAGTTTATTCATCCTTCACATAATCAGAGTAGGAGGTCATGTATTCAAACACAACTTAAGTTTCAGATATTGTGAGTTCTATCTTCTACCCCACATGTATTAAAAAAAAAGTTAAGTCTATTTTTTGATTAAATATTTGTTTTAGTCCCCAAAATTTGTTGGAAAATGTTAAAATTAATTAATGATAAATTTAACTGGCATAGCTAAGTGAATCAGAAAAAAACACGCCAACTTAACATAGTTAAACTAGTTCCAGTATATATCCAATTTCGAATACAACTCAAATATTGAACTCCAAAAAAAAAAAATGCATGGGTTTAATTTTTTTCACCGCCAAAAGTTTGGAGTAATTTGTGAAACTTGTCATATATGCGTATATATAAAGAGGCCAATGACACCATTTTTTAAAATTCCTTGTGTCAAATACAAATTATAAAGAATTTATTTTCTCCAACCAATGTCTTTATTGAAGAGTGCGATTATTCTCTCTTATAAGTCTTTAACATCTTATTCTTTTTTTGTTACACCTTTTCAGGTCATTGTAAAAGGAGGGTAAAAAATTCCCATATCTGAAAGAAAGAAATTTGGACGTGGCTTTCCAGTTTGGAAGAATGTAATATTTAATTATTTATTGTTTGCAACCGGACAAACTTTATTTCCTTTTATTTTTTATTTTTTTATTTTTTGTCAAAATTACAATTAGAATATAATTTTCTTAGCATATGTTTATAGCTTCTTAAGAAAGGCACAGGCTTACTAGGAGTAGGGACAATATGTACTGTAGCAAGCTCGGGAAGTTTTCATAAACCTGTGACCAAACATGGATCGAGTTATGCTAATCCAAACCTCCTACCTCAAAACCCGAGCCAAATGCCTCGAGGGGGAAATGACAAGTAAAAAGCGCGACAAATTTCGCTACATCCAAAAGAATCCGCTGTAAGAATATCAAATAGTAATGGCTTATAATCACAAAAAGATGTGTCAAGGTACACAATTTCAGTGAGTCAAACAAACATTAAACATATATATACGAATGTGGGAGAAACGAGGGAGCTACCTCTTTCTTTCTTGGATCTCTTTTCACTTTATTTATCTTTCTCAATTCATTTAACAAACAAAATAGTAAGAAACTATATAGCTGGATAGTACCCAATAGTGATGTTCGATTCGACTCTCTGCAACCCTCTTGTTGAACTCCACTCCTGGAAGAACTCGAGCGCAAGTCGAAACACGGTTCCAAGTCCAAGCACCACAATGACTCCTGTTCTTCAAGGTTTTCAATTACCATAAACATGCACAACATGAAACTAGATAGCTTGTTCTGCAAAAAGGACTTTTAAAAACGTACCGATGATGATATTTACAGGCAATGCAGAAACACCGAGGGTAATTGATATAAGAACATCCAATAGCAGACCCCCTATGAGGATAGCAAAAGCCAACCAAAGTGGACTGAAGCAGTGCTGCTGCATAAATAAAATATGAAGGTTGATGTTTTTGACTAATGAAACAAGGATATCAGTAGAAAAATGGACCTTTTACCCTCTCAGGATCTTGGGTTCTGTAGGTTGGATCAATCCTCCAAATCCAGTAGTTGGTCTGTGCTTGTCAAATATAAGAAACAACCGAAGTTCAAGTTACTTGCGACATCCATCGAGATCATAAGTTAATGCTAAATGTATAGTGACACGTAAATTTGCAATTCTCATGAATCAGTAGTTTGAATAGACAGCGACAAAACATACAAAGCAAAAGAAAGCTTGTCTTTAGAGCAAAACATTAACCATAATAATTTTCGAGCTGTGTAAATTATTACAGGATTTTGGTTTTCTTTGTATATAGTTTTGGGGTGATTCACTTTGCACATTGCCTCTTTCTCAACAAACTATTTCATTCATAAGCTAAAATATTCTTTTAGAGGGGAGGAAACGTTGTGAATGATAACCTGTTGTCCTCACCTATAATATCTTTCCATATTTCATTTCAATTCCAGGTAAACCAGTAACTTAGATTCAATACACTGGACATATATTTGCAAATATCCTTTTTTTTTTCTTTTTGATAAAGGGGGTCGGAGCTTTGCTCCCCTATATCCACGGGTACTCACGCTTGCCTCAAGGCTTGGACCTAGGAGACATCAAAGATTTTTTTTTTTTTTTGCAAATATCCATTATTCTACTGCAAAAAGCCTTTCAAAAATGTAGCGAATGCAAAAGTGAAGAGAGAACAAGTCTAGAATTCATCTCCATATAATACATACCAGTACATCAACTGCAGAACCAAAAACATTGAACAACAACTCGCAACATTTGATACTATAGTGAAGATAAAATACTGATTCAATATTCATTGAAGTGTCTGATTTAATATGCTTTAAAATTAGGCTTAACGAAGATGGAAAAGGAATTAATCAAAAGCATTGCACCATGAGCTAGAATACCTACACCATGATGTGATTGGGGAGGTGATACATTCGCTGCTATAACCCTGCAAAATTAGAAAAACTACATTTCAGAATGCCCCCAATACAATATCATTCTGTAAAATTAATGAAAGTCATCCTCAAATAGCTAACTTACTGGCATATCTCACATCTGTTTGATCCTTTAGTCCGAAACCAAGTATCTATACAAGTTCGGTGAGCTTTAGCGAGACCGCCTCGACATTGACATCCAAGTTCTATCAAGGCTTCTTCCTTCTCTTGCTGACAAATTCTGAATAATAGTACTCAGACTTAATGGCCTCAACTTCCTTTACAACATATTAACCAGATAAATGAAGCCAATGGTAATTGTGGACATACTCCACCATAATGCAAATAACATGTCAACTGAATGAAAGACAAGAATATTTGAAGAAAAGTTATCTGTATATCATGTATATAACAGGTATGACTCCATAAAGAAAATCAATAGTATTATGATGCCTACATATCAAACTTATCAACTTAAGTTTTCAAATTTAGCGATAGTTGATCAAAACCCCTATTTCCTCTCCCAATTGATATTAATTGGTCATGTGCTGATGGTGATTCAAACGAGAGAGAGAAAGAGAGGATTAACAATATGTATAAAAGATTAAATATATCATAATTTGTCAAATTTAGCTTTTGGGTTTAGTCCTCCAGGAAGACTTGAAAGTATCTCATGTTTTTAGATCTGCCAAAAGATTGAGCAATGAACAAAAAAAATTAACAACAGCATGAGGTAACCAAAATGGACCAGCAGAAAGTAATTATTCGACTTCATAATTCAGAAATGATCTACAACAATTAGAATATCATTTTTCAGGGAAGAGCAGTGCGTTTGAAGTTACCTGCACTGCTCATCAGAACTGGAAGCCATAGACAAGAGCTCCTTTTTGGGGGAAACTATACCAGGCGATTCTTCTTCGTGAGACAACCGGGTTGCCGTCGTCGTAGGAACCTCGGAGACTGGTTTGGGCTCCCCAGTTGAAACAACAATCGTCAACCGAGTATGATCATCAGCATCACTGGCAGAGGGCTCTGATGCTGATGGCTGAGCTCCCCGCTGCTTCTCGAGGTCGGATTCATCGCTTGAATTAGCTATGGTGCTGGTCTTTACATCATTTGAAGGGCATTCCGACATATTGAAAGGTTACTCAAATTCCAAACTCCTCAAAATTGAATCTATTGAACAAAAATCCTTGGCTGACATATCAGAGCATCATCCCTTTACCAAATTTCTCTCACCCTAAATTGAAATGGAAAATATCTGCAGCTCAGTCCTCATCCAAAAACCAAAAAGAAATAAACAAACAAAGTCCACCAACCAATTGAAGCAAAATTTCCACCTACCAAATTTCTTCCAGTCCAAACAAACGACTGAGACATAAAATACAATGAGAGACGATTGCATTACATGTCGCAAGTGAACCGAATAATTCATTCATTCAGAGAAAAAAGAAAAACAAAATCACGAACAACCTCCTTAATCCACAAAACCCAATTTTATAAAAGAATCCTCACCAACCAAATCGAAGCAAATTCTCTCCTACCAAACTTATTTCAGTCCACACAAACGACTGGGATAGAAAACTCAATTGGAAAAATCGCATTATACACAACAACCGAACTTGAAAACTTAGATAGCCCCCCTCAAAATCACAAACCAGGTTAAAAGAAGCTACAGTAGAAAAATCAAGAAGCAACAAAGAAAAGTACCTGTGGACTCGGGATTGACGGCGGAGAAGATTCTAGGAGAAAAAATTGGGAGAAAATTTCATTCCCACTAACATTTTCTAGGTGGGAATTGGAAATATGGTTCTGAAATTGCGTCGTGAATGCTGGTTGGTTAGTTTTTATTTGTTCCTGAATCCTGAGAAAATGGGATTTACGCTGAACAACAAACGAAGAAAATCCAATTAATTTACGCAAATAAATTAGTATTTATGAGAAGAGTATATGAATCCACGTTATTTGTAAGCTCCCACAAGGATATTGCTTCAGCATTTCAGGCGGCAATTCTCACTCCCACATCGAAAGAGACCAGCCACCGCGACGACCGGTTTTGATTTTCTTTTTCTTCTTTCAAATTTCGAAGGAGAAAAAAAAAAGGACAAATAAGAACTTTCTTGAATTATTCCTATTAAAATATCCTCTACAAATCCAATTTTCAAATCCTAAATTGACCCATAAAATAAGAGCATGTAGATCAAGAGTCAAATTTCAATGTTCAACTCACATATAGTCAAATAGTAAATTCTTCTCTCTTCTTTTCCTTTTTTTTTATTGAAGATTCTAAGTCAAATAAATAACTTCCTTTTCTTTTTGCTATTCGAATCATAAGGCTATGAAACCCATGATGCAAAACCTAAACAAATATAGAAGAAATGAATACATATAATACTTATTTATTAAATAAATTACCTCTCATAAAAAAAACTCAATGGAAATTATTAAATGTGGTGTATCGAAGGAGAACTTGACAAAAACAGATCTCTAGAACCTGCGTTCTTAAATTTTAGATTAATTTAAGAACATATTTGAGAATATTTGAAGAGTTATGTTTGTTTCAGTGATACCTTCAATATTTTAATGAATATTCCTATAATTTATAGATTAATTTTTTTTACATTAATTTAATATTAGTTACATTTACATATTAGATTTATTTTTATTAATTTAAAATTTTGATTTTTATATTAAATTTGTTTATACACTTACCAAAGGTGAAAACCTCTTCCTCTCGAAGAAAAAAAATATTCCTTTTGCTATTTTTCCTCTGTTTCAATAGAATGCCTTTTGAGGTTGATTTGGGTCGATTTTTCTTCTTCTCTAGCCAAGAGCATCTGCTCATGAGTTTTTAATGCTAATACAAAATGATGGTAAGACGGGGGATAGAGTGGATTAGAAAATATAGTTGTCCTAAATCCTTGTATTGTTTCCTAAAAATCTCTTGCTAGGTGAAATACTTTGTTTAGATCATCCAAAGGTTTTCTTAATGCTGCTGAGTTATCACATAATCCTTTGAATTTTCTAACATAACCATTCAAAGATTGACTTCCCATTCTTAAGGTAAGCAGTGATTCATGCAAGTGTATTTCATTTTCCTTGTCATCGTTGATGCCAAAATCTGCTCAAGTATCGTGGAACAATTTCTCAAGCGAGTTGTTGTTGGACGAGCTGGTGATTGGAGACCTAAAAAACAGGTAGAGTACTACAATGCTCAAGTTAATTCTATGTGTGAGCTGGATAGATCAACTTCAGGCAGATTTCATACCTGGTTGAGTGAAGTGTAGGTGTATTTATATGGGTGAAATTGGTGGTTGTTCGTTCCATCAGTATTTTCTACTGTGCGGTAGGTGGGTGACCTGTCATTCACTGTTGGCCACGAACCCAACACCTTTTTCCCGACCTATCAACTCGGCCTAAGCTATTTGATCGAGGGGGAGCTCGACCCTCATAGTTGGCATTTTCAGCCTTCCAACAATCATGGTGAGCAATGCCTTCAATTAGAGCTAGCACATCAGTGAAAATTCTCGTGAAGATTTAAAGATACAATTTAATGGGTCTTCTAATAGATTTTTTAATTATCTTTTTTATACAATAATATGAGGATCTGAGAAGTAGATATTAAAAAATATTATTGTAAAATATAAATTACATCGATCAACCCAAACATAGCGAGCTATAGTAACACTTCTAGGGTTTAAAAATTTAAAATTTTAATTTTTCTTTTATTTTTCTGCTTTAAAAAAATTAACATTCACGGCACATTTGCTATGCTACAATTTCTTTTTTTTATTAAAACATCACAACCCTATTTTTCAAACTAAAATTTTAAGTAAACTAATAAAATAGACTTACTAAATAAAAACTATTAAATTAGGAAAAAAAAATCAGCTATGCACCTACCCAAAATAAAGCATACTTGCAATGGGCAATTTTTTTTGTATTGGATTAAGAAAATCTAATCTTTTTTCCATAGAAATTTAAACCTACCATATATTTTAGTTATTACATGTGTAGTGGAAGAAATTGTGATGCCACATGAAAGACAGATACTTGTCGAAATAAGTTCACATAACTTAGCAACTCCACCTCGAACCGACGATCGAGGTGAGAAACAACCGTCTCTAACAATTTCATACTTGCTAAACAGTTCGACCTACTTAGGTTCGACCTAAGTGACCCGACAAGTTCGATCTGCAAAACGACAAAGATAACTGCCGGTCGTGAGGTCTGTCAGACCACGCGCCTATAAATAGAGGGCCACATTTTCATCCCAGGTATCAATTTTTGCTCAAACTTCTTATTGAGTCCGAGCTACTTATTGATCTGAGAGTCGGAGAGTTTGTCCTCGTGTGCAGGTCAGTTCAAAGGGATTCGAAGTTCTCTAGCATCCGAGTTCGACCTTGACTAGGTCAAACCTTGTGAAAATTCTTGCATAAACAATATGAATGATTAAATCGACGACATTTATTATATTTTAATCACAATTGACTGGTATATATAATGTCTATTGATTTTCCATTGGACTATTTTTACAAATTTGTAGTTGAGTTTACTATTTTAATAATAAGGTTGTTTCTGCAATCAAATTCTAAAAAATCTAACTTGTGATGAGTTAATTTATAAAATAAACTAACAAAAAAAACTAAATTAATCAATGACAGAAATGTTGGGTCGGTGTGGTAAAATTAGTTTCTGTTCCTTTATTTTTAATGAAGAAAAATGTATTGCATGTTCTAACCTCTAAAGAATCAAGTATGATAAAATAATATTTTTATTTATATTTTAGAATTATACCAAACGAGCTGGAGGGGCTGAGAGAGGCTTAAAAAAAATGCAAAAACTTTGATTGGTTCAATACATTTGATTGTAATTAAAATCTGACGAACCATGTAAAGTAATTGAGATATATAATCAGGT